GTAGACCTGCGCTTTTCCATCTGAGCCACTGGACCACTATCTCTAATGCTGCTGCTTGTTGTCTTTTGTACAGGCTGCTTTCAACTGTATTTGTTTTACATGCCATTTATTCCCCACATGCCGTTTTAAACGCCATTTATTGCCCACATGCCGTATTAAACGCCATTTATTGTCCACATGCCGTTTTAAACGCCATTTATTGCCCACATGCCGTTTTAAACGGCATTTGTTTCCACCATGCCATTTTAAACGCCACTTGTTGTCCACATGCCGTTTTAAACGCCACTTGTTGTCCACATGCCGTTTTAAACGCCACTCGCTGTACACATGCCGTTTTAAACGCCATTTATTCCCCACATGCCGTTTTAAACGCCATGTATTGCCCACATGCCGCTTTACATGCCATTTATTCCCCACATGCCGTTTTAAACGCCACTTGTTGTCCACGTGCCGTTTTAAACGGCATTTGTTGTCCACATGCCGCTTTACACGCCATTTATTCCCCACATGCCGTTTTAAACGCCACTTGTTGTCCACATGCCGTTTTAAACGCCATTTGTTGTCCACATGCCGTTTTAAACGCCACTTGTTGTGTACATGCCACTGATCAGCTGTAGCAGGTGCCGGTGCCACAAAAGGAGCCTGCCCTTTCTCCTGATTTGGGTGAAATCTGGGCCCATTACCGATGTGTGGGGAGTGTTCAGAGCCTGAGAGCCAGAAATGTGTGTGTCTCTAGTAAACACATGTTGTGTTGCTACAGACACAGAGAGTTCTTACTGCTCTGCAGGCGCTGGACCAGCTGCTCCTGCTTCATCCTCCTCAGGAAGTCCAGGGCGATGTTCAGAACCTCTCTGCTCTGCACCTCACTCTCAGAGCATTCTGGGTAATCTGAGGCCAGGAGCCTTTGGATCCTCTGCAGCTGCTCTTTGACAAAAGTCACCACGCCCTCCTGCAGACGCTGGAACAGAACAATAAGAGAAGAGTTCACAGAGAGACGCTGAGGAGCAGCCAGAGAAGGCCACACAAGCTGCGGTGGTGGACACTCACCCTCAAGATGGCGTCCAGCGGCTCCTTTGGACCTGGATCCCTGTGAAACACACTCAGCATTTATTTAGTGTGCACAATAGAAGAACACAGACTCAAACAGGAGAGAAAAGGACTGTTTCTATAAAGAGCTTCTACACAGCACTAAACCTGGGACTCCCAGCTTCAGCACCAGAGACACCAGACATTTTGCCACAGATGAAGATCAGGACCACGGTCTTTGTTCTAGTAAGTAAGTCATCTTTATTTATATAGCACAGTTTTACAGACCAAGGTCACCCAAAGCTGACTTTGGTCTGTAAAACTGTCTGATGAAGGACGAGACACAGAACTGTGTTAACAACATGGGTTCAAGTCCCACCTCTTATCTTCAGGACCATCTTCTCTGAAGAGAGGAGGAAGGTTTCTGGACTTGTCACTTTTCACAGACACAGAGCTGGGAGCAGGTCCAGGTCCAGGTCCAGGTCTAGGTCCAGGTCCAGGTCTGGGTTTAGACCCGGGGCCAGATCCTCGTGGCTCCATGTTGTAGAGTCTGAATCAGAACAAGAGTCACTCACTTTGTTTATTATTTTTACGTCTGTTTGATTGAATGTGAGCAGAGAACACATCAGCCCTGTCCTCAAACAACTCCACTGGCTCCTGCTCCACACCTCCTCCAACACAAGGTCCTCCTCCTCACCTACAAGTCCTCCTCCTCACCTACAAGTCCTCCATAACCTGCTCCTTCTTACCTCACTGACCTCCTCCATCACTGACCTCCTCCATCAACACTCCTTCAGACCCACAGACTCAGGCCTCCTCTCTCCCTCAGGCCTCCTCTCTCCCTTAGACCTCCTCTCTCCCTCAGACCTCCTCACTCCCGCAGACCTCCTCACTCCCTCAGACCTCCTCTCTCCCTCAGACCTCCTCCCTCCCTCAGACCTCCTCAGTCTGCAGTCACAGAATTAGTAGATCATTTGACCCATGTAAATCATGAACATCTGATGAATGATGTGTATGGAGATTTTTGTCAATTAATGTATGATATTGGTAAATCTCATGGCATCATTAAGTGCACTACTAGAAAACAAAATAAAACAACAAATCAACCTTACTGGAACAAGGAATTATCTACAACGTGGAAAGGGGTGAGACTGGCTGAGAAAAAGTATCTCCTGTGCAATAGCATAAATAAACAACAGCTAAAATATGATTTTAAAAATAAACAACACCAATTTGATAAAAGACTCCGAGCGAACAAGAGAAGATATCAAAGAGGACTAGCTGTAAAAATTGAACATAATCAAACTCATAACCCCCAATCATTTTGGAGTCTGGTGAATAAACTTGGCCCAAGAAAAGAGAAAGAAATACCACTAGAAGTGGTTTTGGAGGATGGATCCTTTTGTTTTGATATTAAAATGGTATTAAAGAATTGGGAATCTGAATTTAAAGCCTTATTCTCCGGTGGTTTGGTGTCCCCTGAGTGGGAAGATTCTTATTTTGAAATGATATTGGTGCTAAAAGTCCAAATGGAAATCTCTGCAAAGTTTTCATATAATCCATATTTAAATTTTGATATTACAGAAAGTGAAGTCAAAAGGGCAATAGATAAACTAAAAGTTAAGAAAGCGACTGGATTTGACAACTTGTCTAATGAATTGCTAAAACAGCCTGGTTTGTTCCCAGTGCTTTATAATTTACTGTTCAATCTATCAAACTATCAAACCTATTCCAAAGTCACAGAGTTCAGACCCTCGAGTGCCTATGAATTATAGAGGAATAAGTCTCCTTAGTTGTGTGTACAAATTGTATAGCAGTATTCTTAATGAGAGATTGACGTGTTACCTGGAATCCCTTGACCTACTGGCTGACGAGCAAAACGGGTTTAGGACAAAGAGAGCCTGTATAGATCATATTTATTCTCTTATCTCAGTAACAAATGCTAGAATACAAGAGGGAAAGTCTACATTTGCCTGTTTCATAGACTTTCAGAAGGCCTTTGACTGTGTTAATCGAGATTTACTTGGCTATATGTTATTAAAAATGGGGATTGATGGTAAATTTTATGACGCAGTTAAAGCTATTTATAAAAATCCAATTTCTTGTGTTCAAGTAAATGACCACTTCACTGACTGGTTCCCAACACCATACGGCGTAAAACAGGGTGATGTTCTGTCTCCCACATTATTTGCTATATACATTAATGATTTAGTAAATTAAGTAAAAGAGGCAGATGTGGGCATTAATGTGGGAGACTTGAAATTTTGTATTCTGTTGTATGCGGACGACATTGTGCTATTCGCCGAAAAGGAATCAGACCTTCAGAAAATGTTGAATATTGTTCATGCTTGGTGCAACAAAATGAGACTGATGATAAATTCTGATAAAACTCAAGTTATGCATTTCAGAGGAAGTACCCAGGCATTATCAGACATTACATTTTGTTTTGGCAATACAGTTCTTTCTTTTACTAAAAAGTACAAATATCTGGGATTTAAGGTAGATGAACATCTCACATTTGATGAAGGGATTAAATCACTCTCTGAATCTGCAGGTCGAGCTCTCGGTGCTGTTATAAATAAAGTGAAGGCGTGTCGTGATCTGGGTTATAAGACCTACACTGAGCTGTACAGAGCGTGTGTGTGCCCGGTGTTGGACTATGGTGCTGGGGTCTGGGGTTACTCTAAACAGACGCACAGTGAAAAAGTTCAATGCAGAGCTATGAGATACTTTCTAGCTGTTCATAAAAACACCCCTAAACTTGCTCTGTACGGGGACCTGGGTTGGGAACCATGTGAAGTAAGGCATGTGTGTGACATGGTACGGTTATGGAACAGGTTTATCAACATGTCTGACTCAAGACTGTCCAAACACATCTTTAAATGGGACCTGTCTCATAGAAATGCTTGGAGTGTGCAGATGGAGAAATTTTTTGCTGATGCTGATCTCCAGTTTATTTTCAGAAACAAGTTGCGTTGTAGTGTTGGAGAATTTAAAAGAGTTTATTTTGAAAAGTATAAACATAAATGGTTAATCAATGTCTTGTGTAAGCCAAAACTGAGAACTTATGTTTTGATAAAGGATCATTTTGGTCCTGCGCCCTATGTGACCCTGAACCTGACCAGAGGTCAGAGGTCAGTCTGTGCTCAACTGAGGTCTGGGACCCTGCCCCTGGCTCTAGAGACAGGACGATTTCACTCGGTCCCAGAGGAGGAGCGGACATATTGTTTGTGTCACTTAAATTATATTGAAAATGAATTGCATTTTGTTTTTTATTGTCCTTTGTACCATGATCTGAGAAGGCAATTATTTTGCAAACTGTCTGATGTTGCTGAACTTTTGTTTGAACTGTCTGATGAGGAAAAGCTTAAGTTTCTATTCAAGTATAAGCCATTTCATTTGTCTAAGTTTTTGTTAAGTGCATGGCTCCAACGGAAGAGAACACTCTTTGTTTGATGTTTTTCTGATGTCTGCTACATTTTTGTGTCTTATAAGCCCATACGGGCTGGGCATCTTTAGGTGCAAGACACCAAATAAGAAATAAACTAATCTAAAACTAAAAACTGTTATCAGTACTACTGTATTATTTCATATCTGATAATTCTGCCTTTCACCGTCACTTTACCTGTTGATATCTTACTGTATTGTTCATATCCATCTGATAATTCTCCCATTCAAGTCACTTTACCTGTTGATATTATTTCTGATGTTTATTCTGCTCATATTCTCATATTCTCCGCTGACAATGTATAATATAGACATCTGTAAATACTCCGAACCAAGTGCAATTATAGCCCAGAGTTTCTAATTTTATTTTATTTTATCTTAAATTTATTGTCTATTATCTTAAATAATAGACTTTGATGTGTGCGTCTGAGTGCTCTTATTTCCTTTCTCTGCTGTAATGTGCAACGATGACACTGACATTTCTCCACTGTGAGACTAATAAAGGTTTATCTTATCTTATCCCTCAGACCTCCTCCCTCCCTCAGACCTCCTCACTCCCTCAGACCTCCTCTCTCCCTCAGACCTCCTCTCTCCCTCAGACCTCCTCACTCCCTCAGACCTCCTCTCTCCCTCAGACCTCCTCTCTCCCTCAGACCTCCTCCCTCCCTCAGACCTCCTCACTCCCTCAGACCTCCTCACTCCCTCAGACCTCCTCTCTCCCTCAGACCTCCTCTCTCCCTCAGACCTCCTCTCTCCCTCAGACCTCCTCACTCCCTCAGATCCACAGACTCAGACCTCCTCACTCCCTCAGACCTCCTCCCTCCCTCAGATCCACAGACTCAGACCTCCTCACTCCCTCAGACCTCCTCCGTCCCTCAGATCCACAGACTCAGACCTCCTCACTCCCTCAGACCTCCTCTCTCCCTCAAACCTCCTCTCTCCCTCAGACCTCCTCTCTCCCTCAGACCTCCTCTCTCCCTCAGACCTCCTCACTCCCTCAGATCCACAGACTCAGACCTCCTCACTCCCTCAGACCTCCTCACTCCCTCAGATCCACAGACTCAGACCTCCGTACTCCCTCAGACCTCCTCACTCCCTCAGACCTCCTCACTCCCTCAGACCTCCTCAGACCTCCTCTCTCCCTCAGACCTCCTCTCTCCCTCAGACCTCCTCACTCCCTCAGACCTCTTCACTCCCTCAGACCTCCTCACTCCCTCAGACCTCCTCACTCCTTCAGACCTCCTCACTCCCTCAGACCTCCTCACTCCTTCAGACCTCCTCACTCCCTCACTCCCTCAGATCCACAGACTCAGACCTCCTCACTCCCTCAGACCTCCTCTCCCCCTCAGACCTCCTCACTCCCTCAGACCTCCTCACTCCTTCAGACCTCCTCACTCCCTCAGACCCACAGACTCAGAAACCACCAGTTCAAAACTTCCTACATTCTTTTTTATATTTAGATTTTTATAACATTACAAAAATGTATCATTGTCATTTGTTTTGTAATCCTTTTCACATTTTAGTAATAATATAAATAAGATAAAAACACAAACAAAATAATAATAATAAAAATAAAAACAAAACAAACATAAGGGACAAAACCATGGAATCCGTGTACAATCCATGTACCCTTCGATCATTAGTTATTCCGTTTCAAAATTAAATCAGAAAAACAAATTACGTGGTTGTTTTATTGTATTTCCATTTTCTAAATTAAATTGGAAAATCAAAACATTCTAAATGAAATATTCACCCATTTCTTTGTTATGCAGTGGAAACAAACACTACTAAAACAACTTCCATTATTTTGTTTGATATGCTCCCGGAAATGATGAGTGGTGAGAGACGGAAACAACTGCAAGCTGCACTCAACTCAACTCAACTACACGACAACAACTCGCGCTGTTGTTGAGCTCGCGCCCAGGCCCGAGCTCCAGGGGCAAAATGCTTACAGCACCTGGTATCACCCATCCAAGTACTATGGGGAAAACTTTGTGCGCACTGCTCTAAAACAGAGAGAGCCGGCTTTCTCCATTCATTCTGGATTACACACGCACTCGGTAAGTCTCCTCTGATAAACACAATGTTTTTGTGCTCGTTCTTTATGTTTCACTTCATAAATCTCTCATATTGTGTGTAGATCGTTCACACACGTCTGTAGTTTATATCTCGAGTGTGTAGTGCGCTGTTTATGATTGTTTACCTCCGTGTCATATGTTTGTTGCTGCTTCTGCTGCTCGTAGATCTCTCTGTTTGGATCAATATTGTAAAGAAAACACTTTCTCTGCGTTGTCAAACAATCTGTATTCACTGTATTCTACTGTATACAGTAATGCAGTTTGTTTACGTCTGGTTGTAGTAGTAGCGCTAGCTAATTATTATTAGCTAACTATTGTTGATGTGTGTACTATCTATATGTATTTCACATTTCTATAGTTCAGCAACACATTGAGTTGAAAATGAATTATATGCAGTTAGTTTACGACAATGTATTAGTGTTTTACCAGTTCATATTTTCCTTCTATAACTGTACTTACTGTATCCCAGAGCCTCATGCTGCTAATTTCCAGATGTAAACATACAACTGTATATGTCTTCTCTAGATTATACAGGATTCATGCTTCTTTATTATGCTAAATTTAATTATTTTATTCTTTATTATGCTAAAGATATATACATTATACATACTTCTCTATCATGCTATAGCTAGATATTTTATGATCTTTTTTTGTTGTTGCAGACAATATGAAGACATTTTCATTCTTTCCTGGCCGCGTCACTGTGATTTTTTGCAAGGGCCCACGTGGATTCCTGCTGCAGGACCCTTCGGAGGAGGCGAGGAAGATCAGGGACGGCCCGTCCATGAGGGAGTGCGGTGCTCCTCTGAGGGAGGAGGTGGTGAGGGAGAACGCCCTCACTCTGGTGCGAGTGAGAGGAGGTGATGCCTCAGACAAGGCTGAAGTGCTCGGGGAGTACATTGCTCACAGCAGGCAGTAAGACCAGCACAGCGCCTGCTGTCACTCTAATGTCACTGCTGTCTGAGGAGGCCATAGAGAAGGTTGTGCAGCGGATCTTGGAAAAGCAGCAGCAGCCTCCAGCAAATAAACCCCACACAAAGAAATGCCTGTCTTGTGGCCAGCCAAAATCCAAATATGAGGGCAATGGCAGCTCCATCCACGAGTTTTACCAGCAGGGTCCTACCAGGTATTTCTATTGCTCCACCAAGGTCTATAACACCTATCGCACAGAGGGTTTGACCAACTCCAGGATGCCATTCCGAGACTTTATGGACACTGAGTTCTACCAGAGAGAGCTGGAGGCCACGCAGCAGAGAGTGAATGAGCGGCAGGAGAAGAAAAGGAAGAGAGATGAGTCTCCTGCCACTGGGAGAAAGTGCGGGTTCTGCAAACTGCAGCTGAAGCAGGGACCAGTCCTCACATTCATACACAATTCCCTGGTCTGTCAGGAAAATGCAGCTGAAGCGGAGGTTCAGGATGGTAGACTACCTACGTTATCACACCAGGCTTGACCACGCCTTACTCAGCCTGTCTCAATCAACTCCCCGCAGCCGTGTCAATCAAGCCAGCGTTTAAGAGAACAGCAGAGCACAGCTCACCAAACGGACTTCAAGCTGCAACGGGTTGCTCTTCGTCACTTTGTTTACTCACGCCTCGCACATTGTTCGTCCTGCATGGTCGCGGCTCCTCTTCCACATCACATGTTGGGGGCTGCGCGCCATGGTCGCTGTGTCTCCACCTCGGCTCACCGCGGGTCCTCTCCTGCGGACTCGCTGCCGCTCGTCTCCCCGTGGCCGCTGCTGCTCGCGGCCAGGCGTTACTCCGCGCACCCTGCCGCTTCCATACCGGGAACGGGACTTCTGTCTGCCTGCCGTTGTCTGCCTGCCGCTGTCCACCCTTCTCCATGCCTCCACTCACGGTACAGTGTCGGTTTCGTTGTTTTCCGCACTACCATGAACTGTACTGAACTTACTAACCCTAACCCTAACCCTACTTAACTTACTCAGTTAAGTACTCAGTTAAGTTACTTAACTTACTCAGTTATTCCCGCCGAATTGGCTCGCAGGCTGTGTTTTTACCCGATGCATTGCTCTTCAGGCTGTTCGTTTTACCATCTGCACTGGCATTTAGACCGTCCGTTTTCAGCATGGACCGCACATTTTAACCACTGTGTTGGCCTTCTGGCTGTCCGTTTTACTCATGGGCTGAACATTCTACCCACTGCATTGACCTTCAGGCTGTCAGTTGTAATCATGGACTATAACATTTGTCGTCTGCATTGGCCTTCGCTCTGTCTAATTGACCGTGGACTGTAAGTTTTGCCCACTGCATTGCTTCCGGGCTGTCCGTGTCTGATGAGCTGCTCTGATTGGTCGGAGCCCCTCTGTGCTGTTCGTTGCCCATTGCTTTGGCCTTACGCCACACTTCAACGCCACACTTCAACGCCACGCTTCGACGCCGCCACGCTTCGACGACGCCACGCTTCGACGCCGCCACGCTTCGACACCGCCACGCTTCAACGCCACACTTCGACGCCGCCACACTTCGACGCCGCCACGCTTCAACGCCACACTTCGACGGTGGCCCCACGCTTTGACGCCGCCACGTCGGTGGCCCCACGCTTCGACGCCGCCACGTCGGTGGCCCCACGCTTCGACAACGCCACGTGGGTGGCCCCACGCTTCGACGACGCCACGTGGGTGGCCCCACGCTTCGACGACGCCACGTGGGTGGCCCCACGCTTCGACGACGTCACGTGGGTGGCCCCACGCTTCGACGGCGCCATGTGGGTGGCCCCACGCTTCGACGACGCCACGTGGGTGGCCCCACGCTTCAACGCCACGTCGGTGGCCGCACGCTTCGACGACGCCACGTCGGTGGCCGCACGCTTCGACTCCTCCTCCACGCTTCGACTCCTCCTCCACGCTTCGACTCCTCCTCCACGCTTCGACTCCTCCTCCACGGCGCACGCTTTGACGCCGCACGCTTTGACGACGCCGCACGCCTCGACGACGCCGCACGCCTCGACGACGCCGCACGCCTCGACGACGCCAACGCACGCCTCGACGACGCCGCACGCCTCGACGACGACGCCGCCGCACGCCTCGACGACGACGCCGCCGCACGCCTCGACGACGACGCCGCCGCACGCCCCGACGACGCCGCACGGCTCAACAACGCCGCACGCTTTGACGCCGGCGCACGTCGGCGGCCGCACGCTTCATCGCAGCTCGTCGGCGGCCGCACGCTTCATCGCAGCACGTCGGCGGCCGCACTTTTCATCGCAGCACGTCGGCGGCCGCACGCTTCCACGCCGGTGGCCGCTGTTTGACGCCACGTCGGTGTGCGCCTCCTGCCGCATTCTTGACGCCACGCTTCGACGCATTAGCGTGCTCTCATCCATTCATCGTGGGACCAGTGTCGACCATGGACACGCGTTCCCTATTGGTGGGTGAACAATCCAACGCTTGGAGAGTTCTGCTTCACAATGACGGGAAGAGCCGGCATCGAAGGATCAGGTCAGTGGTCTGACTGAAGACGTGGTCTGACACTGCCCGTTGGTCCTTTTCACTCGAGTGATAGTGGTTCGAGGTTTCTCTTTTCAGCTTCGCAGGAACGTGATGCCGCAACGCCGCACCAAAGCTCTGCTACGACGCCGCGACGGTGGCCTGCTGCAACGCTGGCCTGCTAAGACTGCATGAGTACTGTTCGGCGTGGCCTTCAAACCTGGCCGACTATCTTCCCCAGGCCGCACTCATTGGCTTTTGGTGTGCAGCACTGCCCGCCACGGTTTGCGTGCACTCTGAGTGGCTGTAGGCGGTGCTCCTTCTCATGTTCCCCAGGCATATTCTCTCCTGGTCTCCTGGTGCGGCTCCTGCCGCCGGGCCTGTCTCACGCTTCGCCTTACCTGACGCACCCTGGCCCTCATTCTGACCGGGCCCTTGTGCGTTGGTTTTTGGGGGTCCAGAGATCTCCTATCGAACATCAATCTTCCTGGGTAAGTGTACTTCATGAATCTCATTTTCACCTTCTAGTCTCCCCAAGTGGAATCATGTTCGAATATCGCTGTTTAGAGCGCTATCATGTTCGAATAGCGCTCTAAACACCAGCAGTTCATCTTTCATTCAGCATTCTCCTTTCCCTCTCACTGCACACTCTCAGTCTCTGGACATCAGCATCGCGGGTACTGCTGTCACTGCCTCATCTTCATCGGCAGTAAATACATTCTCTAAAATCCACTTCGAGTCACACTGCTCCACCCTCATAAGAAGATCCTTAAAGGAGTATTGGCAATGGTCCTTGTTCTGTAGTTTAGGTCCTGGACGACTAGCCTGTTTGTCCGTGGAGTGGATCCCTCTCTCATGTAGGGTCTTCCAAAGGTTTCTCACTTTTTTCCCCACGGGGTTTTGTGAGTTTTCCTTGCCATGCAGGAGGGTCTGGCCAGTTAGTGTCCAACTAGAAGGCCCGTGGTGATGATCCAGGATACTTTACATTCTACAACATGTATGGACATTTTATCAACATTCATAGACTATAATTACTCCTTAAACAATCCCTTGACGACCCCCTGGTCTGAACAAATTCAAAACCTGCGCTCCCTGCATGTAACCTCTCTTTCTTTCTCTACACCCGCCACTCCTTCCGGATAGGAGCAGCCACTTGGGCTGCTGCCCTGTGACTCCCTCAATCATCTCTCCAGGAGCTCGGTCCCCGGTTCTCTACCACATTCATCCGTTCTGGCAGCCCAGCGCCTCCTCTCATATAAGTACGTATGCATCTCCTGGTGGTGGCAACTCCTCATTCCAGCATGCCGCGCACTCGAGCCGAGCTCGTGCGCGTGCCAACGCCTAGCGCTAGAGCCGAGCTCGCGCACGGACATTACGCCGCGCACTCGAGCCGAGCTCGTGCGCGTGCCAACGCCTAGCGCTAGAGCCGAGCTCGCGCATGGAAACAGTCACTCACACCATGCGCCTTCCATAAACGCAGCAACCAAGTCGTGGCAAACGCATCGCTAGCCAAGCTCTCTTTTTGGGGATCATGATCTGCACCCAGGCGCAGATCTCTTCAGAGCACGGCCACAGCCGGGGCCTAAGCTCCAAACCAATAAACAAACTCAATCCATAAAATAAACAACTCTTAAACGCATCTCGTCTCTTGTAGTCTCTCCAGGTTGAAATGCAGCTGAAGCGGAGGTTCAGGATGGTAGACTACCTACGTTATCACACCAGGCTTGACCACGCCTTACTCAGCCTGTCTCAATCAACTCCCCGCAGCCGTGTCAATCAAGCCAGCGTTTAAGAGAACAGCAGAGCACAGCTCACCAAACGGACTTCAAGCTGCAACCACCTCCTCCCCACCTCCGCCTCAGGATTTCTTCACTCTCACATTCACCTTGCCTTGCTGCCACCACCAGTATCTAGGCCCCGGGGGATCATGATCTGCACCCAGGCGCAGATCTCTTCAGAGCACGGCCACAGCCGGGGCCTAAGCTCCAAACCAATAAACAAACTCAATCCATCAAATAAACAACTCTTAAACGCATCTCGTCTCTTGTAGTCTCTCCAGGTTGAAATACATCTACTGCCCTGCCAAAGTATTCTCGCTGTACAAGGACCAGGGGATGGAGACACAGATGTTCCAGCAGCTCCTTTTTATGACCGGGAGAGGGAAAGGTGGCGTGTAAATAAATGAGCTATCTGTTGTCTATTGGTGCTATTGTATATAGTTACTATATTATACCTGTCTGTTCATAAATGTTTATAAATATTCTAATTATTATGTAAATATATACTTAATATTGATTATATCTAATTATATAATTTCATTTGTAAAGTCTGCATGTACAGTTCTGTATAGTCAGCTCTCAGCCGTCACAGTCACAGGGCTCATCACAGAAATACTAGTTTAAGAAGATAAAGATAGCATGTTGTTGTTTTTCTTCTAAGTGTATTTCTTAAATTTGTAAATATCTCTTTTTTCATCTGTTCACAATAAATATATTATAATGTCATACATTATTGAAGTCTTTCTTTTTATTGATCATATTTCAGGGCAAACAGTAGTATTTGACAAAACAATCTGTATAGAAAATAGATAATATATGCCCACTATACGCGGCTGGCCCCCGCGGCCCGACCTTGCCTAGCTTCCGAGATCAGACGAGATCGGGCATTCTCAAGGTGGTATGGCCGTCAGCACGGGGGTATGGAGGAGCGTGCCTCCTGACCCTGCTGCTGCGGTCCTCTCCTCCCCCAGAATGAGCGCTCAGGCCTGGGTCTGAGCGGGAGCAAAGCCCTCCTCGGTGATAGTCCAGAACCGGAGGAGTGCGTGGGTGAAAACCCCGTGTCTCTAGCACCCCTGGTTCGTTTTTGACAAGCCCTGGAAGCCGAGGTTCTCCTCCCCCAAAATGAGCGCTCTTGGGCGGATGGTAGACCCCGGTGGTTTCCAAGGGCCATAACTTTCTGGTCCTTTATCCCCCGCACGTCAAATTCACACCGCGGGTAGGACCAGGGGAGTCCCACCCCCGCGTCTGTAGCCCCCCTTCCGCGAGGTCTCTTCTCTCTTCCGGTGTCGCAAATAATAATAAAACGAAATAATAGTAATGCCATAATTCTTTTGAGAATTTTAAACAACTAGAGCCAAAACAAACACATTGATATTGAAGCATAAAGGATTTGATTTTCCAATTTGATTTAGAAAACATTCTAAATGAAATATTCACCCATTTCTTTGCTATGCAGTGGAAACAAACACTACTAAAACAACTTCCATTATTTTGTTTGATATGCTACCGTAAATGATGAGTGGTGAGAGACGGAAACAACTGCAAGCTGCACTCAACTCAACTCAACTACACGACAACAACTCGCGCTGTTGTTGAGCTCGCACCCAGGCCCGAGCACCAGGAGCAAAATGCTTACAGCTCCTGGTATCACCCATCCAAGTACTATGGGGAAAACTTTGTGCGCACTGCTCTAAAACAGAGAGAGCCGGCTTTCTCCATTCATTCTGGATTACACACGCACTCGGTAAGTCTCCCCCTAAGCCTGCAGCAGCCTTACGTCTCCCCCCCCAGCCTGCAGCAACCATACGTCCCCCCCCCCAGCCTGCAGCAGCCTTACGTCTCCCCCTGAGCCTGCAGCAACCATACGTCCCCCCCCCCCAGCCTGCAGCAGCCTTACGTCTCCCCCTGAGCCTGCAGCAGCCATACGTCCCCCCCCCCCATTCTGCAGCAGCCTTACGTCTCCCCCTGAGCCTGCAGCAGCCATACGTCTCCCCCCCCATTCTGCAGCAGCCTTACGTCTCCCCCTGAGCCTGCAGCAGCCTTACGTCTCCCCCCGAGCCTGCTGCAGCCTTACGTCTCCCCGGGAGCCTGAAGCAGCCTTACGTCCCCCCCCCAGCCTGCACCAGCCATACGTCTCCCCCCCGAGCCTGCAGCAGCCTTACGTCTCCCCCTGAGCCTGCAGCAACCATACGTCCCTCCCCCCCAGCCTGTAGCAGCCTTACATCTCCCCCCCCAGCCTGCAGCAGCCTTACGTCTCCCCCTGAGCCTGCAGCAGCCTTACGTCTCCCCCCCCAGCCTGCAGCAGCCTTACGTCTCCCCCTGAGCCTGCAGCAGCCTTACGTCTCCCCCTCAGCCTGCAGCAACCATACGTCCCTCCCCCCCAGCCTGTAGCAGCCTTACATCTCCCCCCCCAGCCTGCAGCAGCCTTACGTCTCCCCCTGAGCCTGCAGCAGCCTTACGTCTCCCCCTGAGCCTGCAGCAACCATACGTCTCCCCCCGAGCCTGCAGCAGCCTTACGTCTCCCCCGAGCCTTCAGCAGCCTTATGTCTCCCCCTGAGCCTGCAGCAGCCTTACGTCTCCCCCTGAGCCTGCAGCAACCGTACGTCTCCCCCAAGCCTGCAGCAGCCTTACGTCTCCCCCGAGCCTGCAGCAGCCTTATGTCTCCCCCTGAGCCTGCAGCAGCCTTACGTCTCCCCCTGAGCCTGCAGCAGCCCTACGTCTCCCCCCTGAGCCTGCAGCAACCATACGTCTCCCCCCCCATTCTGCAGCAGCCTTACGTCTCCCCCTGAGCCTGCAGCAGCCTTACTTCCCCCCCTGAGCCTGCAGCAGCCTTACGTCTCCCCCTCCGCCTGCATCAGCCTTACGTCTCCCAACCCATTCTGCAGCAGCCTTACGTCTCCCCCTGAGCCTGCAGCAGCCTTACGTCTCCCCCTCCGCCTGCATCAGCCTTACGTCCCCCCCCCAGCCTGCAGCAGCCTTACGTCCCCCCCTGAGCCTGCAGCAGCCTTACGTCTCCCCCTCCGCCTGCATCAGCCTTACGTCCCCCCCCCAGCCTGCAGCAGCCTTACGTCCCCCCCTGAGCCTGCAGCAGCCTTACGTCTCCCCCTCCGCCTGCATCAGCCATACGTCTCCCCCCATTCTGCAGCAGCCTTACGTCTCCCCCTGAGCCTGCAGCAGCCTTACTTCCCCCCCTCCGAGCCTGCCGCAGCCTTACGTCTCCCCCCGAGCCTGCAGCAGCCTTACGTCTCCCCCTCCGCCTGCATCAGCCTTACGTCTCCCCCTCCGCCTGCATCAGCCTTACGTCTCCCCCCCCAGCCTGCAGCAGCCTTACGTCTCCCCCTGAGCCTGCAGCAGCCTTACGTCTCCCCCCCCCAGCCTGCACCAGCCTTACGTCTCCCCCTGAGCCTGCAGCAGCCTTACGTCTCCCCCCCCCAGCCTGCAGCAGCCTTACGTCTCCCCCTGAGCCTGCAGCAGCCTTACGTCTCCCCCTGAGCCTGCAGCAGCCTTACGTCTCCCCCACCCAGCCTGCAGCAGCCTTACGTCTCCCCCTGAGCCTGCAGCAGCCTTACGTCTCCCCCCGAGCCTGCAGCAACCATACGTCCCCCCCCCAGCCTGCAGCAGCCATACGTCTCCCCCCCCATTCTGCAGCAGCCTTGCGTCTCCCCCTGAGCCTGCAGCAGCCTTACGTCTCCCCCCGAGCCTGCCGCAGCCTTACGTCTCCCCCCGAGCCTGAAGCAGCCTTACGTCCCCCCCCAGCCTGCAGCAGCCTTACGTCTCCCCCGAGCCTGCAGCAGCCTTACGTCTCCCCTTGAGCCTGCCGCAGCCTTACGTCTCCCCCCCCAGCCTGCAGCAGCCTTACGTCTCCCCCTGAGCCTGCAGCAGCCTTACGTCTCCCCCACCCAGCCTGCAGCAGCCTTACGTCTCCCCCTGAGCCTGCAGCAGCCTTACGTCTCCCCCTGAGCCTGCAGCAGCCTTACGTCTCCCCCCGAGCCTGCAGCAACCATACGTCCCCCCCCCCAGCCTGCAGCAGCCTTACGTCTCCCCCTGAACCTGCAGCAGCCATACGTCTCCCCCCCCATTCTGCAGCAGCCTTACGTCTCCCCCTGAGCCTGCAGCAGCCTTACGTCTCCCCCCGAGCCTGCCGCAGCCTTACGTCTCCCCCCGAGCCTGAAGCAGCCTTACGTCCCCCCCCCCAGCCTGCAGCAGCCTTACGTCTCCCCCCGAGCCTTACGTCTCCCCTGAGCCTGCCGCAGCCTTACGTCTCCCCCCGAGCCTGAAGCAGCCTTACGTCTCCCCCCCCAGCCTGCAGCAGCCTTACGTCTCCCCCTGAGCCTGCAGCAGCCTTACGTCTCCCCCTGAGCCTGCAGCAACCATACGTCCCTCCCCCCCAGCAGGTAGCAGCCTTACATCTCCCCCCCCAGCCTGCAGCAGCCTTACGTCTCCCCCTGAGCCTGCAGCAACCATACGTCCCCCCCCCCAGCCTGCAGCAGCCTTACATCTCCCCCTGATCCTGCAGCAGCCTTACGTCTCCCCCCCCCAGCCTGCAGCAGCCTTACGTCTCCCCCCTGAGCCTGCAGCAGCCTTACGTCTCCCCCTGAGCCTGCAGCAACCATACGTCTCCCCCCTTAGCCTGCAGCAGCCTTACGTCTCCCCCACCCAGCCTGCAGCAGCCTTACGTCTCCCCCTGAGCCTGCAGCAGCCTTACGTCTCCCCCTGAGCCTGAAGCAGCCTTACGTCTCTCTCCCCCCGAGCCTGCAGCAGCCTTACGTCTCCCCCCCCCATTCTGCAGCAGCCTTACGTCTCCCCCTGAGCCTGCAGCAGCCTTACGTCTCCCCCCGAGCCTGCCACAGCCTTACGTCTCCCCCCGAGCCTGAAGCAGCCTTACGTCTCCCCCTGAGCCTGCAGCAGCCTTACGTCTCCCCCTGAGCCTGCAGCAGCCATACGTCTCCCCCCCCATTCTGCAGCAGCCTTACGTCTCCCCCTGAGCCTGCAGCCGCCTGACGTCTCCCCCTGAGCCTGCAGCAGCCTGACGTCTCCCCCCCCATTCTGCAGCAGCCTTACGTCTCCCCCCGAGCCTGCCGCAGCCTTACGTCTCCCCCCGAGCCTGAAGCAGCCTTACGTCCCCCCCCCCCAGCCTGCAGCAGCCTTACGTCTCCCCCTGAGCCTGCAGCAGCCTTACGTCTCCCCCTGAGCCTGCAGCCTTAGGTCTGCTCAAGCTAACTAATCTGTTGTTCTGTAGAGACGGCGAGGCTAATGATATTAGCTTGATATCGGGCCAAGAGGAGCGTGGTCACTGGTCATACTGACCATTCTTCGTAATATCAGAAAGACGTCAGAGGGGGTTTTGAGGCTGTTACCACTTAAACTCGGACGTCATAGATAGACTCTTCTGTTTGTTCCATCCTATAAATATGAGAGAGTGAGCACTATTTAGCAGATCTACTCGAGAGCTGCTCACGCGGTTGACGGTTGTATTTCCTGTATATATGTATACATTTACTGAGATAATAAACCACACTTTGTTTTACAGCTCATTTACAGCCCCCTTCATTCTGGAATATTCCCAAAGGCCCTGAAAACTGCAGTCATCAGGCCCCTGCTAAAAAAGAGCAGTCTAGATGCCACTGTACTTAACAACTATCGTCCCATCTCAAATCTGCCATTTATGGGGAAAGTCCTTGAGAAAGTTGTCTACCTACAGCTTACTAGATTTCTTATAAACAACTCATTTGATATGTTTCAGTCCGGCTTTAGACCCCACCACAGCACTGAGACTGCTCTCGTAAAGGTTACAAACGATATCCGGCTGAACACTGACGCAGGCAAAGTCTCAATCCTAATCCTGTTAGATCTGAGTGCTGCCTTTGACACCGTCGACCATGAGATCCTCTTACAGAGACTAGAGGACTGGGTTGGAGTCGCTGGCACCGCCCTAAGTTGGTTTAGGTCTTACCTTGAAGACAGGAAGTACTTTGTGGAGATTGGAAACTGTGTCTCAGATCATATGGCCCTGACCTGTGGAGTACCACAGGGGTCGATCCTGGGACCTCTTCTGTTCAATCTCTACATGCTGCCGTTAGGTCAGTTAATACGCAGAAACAAAGTGTCCTATTACAACTATGCAGACGACACTCAGATCTATGTCTCACTGACTGCAGGAGAACATGGACCAGTGGACTCACTCCTTCACTGTATCCAACAGATCAGTGAGTGGATGCAAAACAACTTCCTTCAGCTAAACGCAGACAAAACTGAAATGATTGTCTTTGGTCCCCAGAAACAAAGAGAGAGCGTCATCTGTCATCTACAGTCTCTCTCCCTAAAACCTTCAAACAAGGTCAGAAATCTAGGGGTAATACTGGACTCAGACTTAAATTTTAATAGCCACATCAAATCAGTAACATCAGCAGCTTTTTACCATCTAAAAAGCATTGCCTGGATCAAAAACATAGTGTCTAAAGCAGACTTGGAGATTCTTATCCATGCATTTGTCTCCAGTAGGTTAGACTACTGCAATGGCCTGCTCACAGGTCTGTCCAAACAGGCTGTAAAACAGCTGCAGTACATTCAAAATGCAGCAGCTCGAGTCCTGACTAGAACCAGGAAGTACGACCACATTAGTCCTGACTAGAACCAGGAAGTACGACCACATTAGTCCTGACTAGAACCAGGAAGTACGACCACATTAGTCCTGACTAGAACCAGGAAGTACGACCACATTAGTCCTGACTAGAACCAGGAAGTACGACCACATTAGTCCTGACTAGAACCAGGAAGTACGACCATATTAGTCCTGACTAGAACCAGGAAGTACGACCACATTAGTCCTGACTAGAACCAGGAAGTACGACCACATTAGTCCAGTCCTCAGGTCTCTGCACTGGCTTCCTGTGGCTCAGAGAATAGACTTTAAAACAGCTCTGCTTGTTACAAGTCTCTCCATGGCCTCGCACCAAAATATATTAGTGACATGTTAGTCCCATATGAACCAGCCCGGACTCTGAGGAGCACAGGGACTGGACTCCTGCTGGGACTCTGAGGAGCACAGGGACTGGACTCCTGCTGGGACTCTGAGGAGCACAGGGACTGGACTCCTGCTGGGACTCTGAGGAGCACAGGGACTGGCCTCCTGCTGGGACTCTGAGGAGCACAGGGACTGGACTCCTGTTAGTGCCCAGAGTCAGAACTAAACATGGGGAGGCTGCTTTTCAGATTCATGCTGATAAAATCTGGAACAGTCTTCCTGAAGATGTGAGACAGGCCTCCTCTCTGACAATGTTTAAAACCAGGTTAAAGACTGTTCTGTTTAGCTGTGCTACAACTGAGGGATTTTATATTTTTATATTTTTTTTAATGTTTTATTAAAAAGAGTGATTATTTATGATTTTAATGCTTTCATATTTTGTTCAGCACTTTGAGTTGCCTTGTGTGTGAATTGTGCTATACAAATAAACTTGCCTTGCCTTGCCTTGGTTGTTTATTTTATATTTCATTATTGTGTCTTTCAATCTTTAGAAATTCCACAACAGGAGGTTATAGAAGGACTAGGATTGTAATTGAATCTAAGTTATTGTGTTTTGTGGATGTTGAGCTTATAGCCAGATACAGAACCGAACACGTCTAGACATGAAATAAGATTGGGAAAAGAGTCTGGATTTGTCAGATTACAATATCGTCAGCGAATAATGAGATGTTATGTTCACGACCAAACGTTGTCACTCCAGAGACACGGTTCTTATGGATGAGGCCTTGGCTCAGTGCGAAGCATAAGGGACTCACTGGACACCCTTGTTCATTACCCCTCTCTTGAATGTTTTGGAAAGGGCACCGTTAACTGTAATTTTTGCTTTGGGACTCGAATTCATAGCTCTAGTTTTGATTCGTGGAATTTAATTTTTTTTAGAACTTTGTATAGAAACTCCCAATTCACACGGTCAAACGCCTTTTCTGCGTCAAGACTTAAAAGCAACATTTTATCCTGATTTTTTATCACATGGTCAATTAAATACAATGTTCGGCGAATGTTATCTTGTGTTTGTCTCCTTTTGATAAAACCTGTCTGGCTTATTATTTGGGTAAAATATTTTCCAATCTCTTAGAAATAATATGTGTGAATAATTTACAGTCTTGATTGAGGACACTTATGGGACGGTAACTCCCACATTCCAGTCTGTCCTTTCCCTCCTTCGCTATCAAAAAGATGGAGGCATCGTTCCAAGATGGAGGAATTTTTCCAGATTTCAGGACGCAAATGAATGTGGCTCTCAAAATTGGGGCAGTAAGGTCCTTTGTCTCCTTTTACCACTCAGAAGGGTAACCATCCGGTCCGGGCGCTTTGTTAGTTTAAGAGTCAGAAATGGCTTTTTTAATTTCCATCCATCCATTTTTTTTCCATCCATTTTCTACCCTTTAATCCATTTCTGGGTCAGGGGGGTGGCAGTCAGAGATGCCACCCAAGTCTCATAGCACCAGCCCCTCACTGACCCTCTGCAGGTGGTGAGTCCACAGGAGGACGGCTGCTCTCTGAGTGTGAGCATAGCCTTGATCTTTCAGTGGGGGCTTTGGGCAAAGTGGGGTTAAGTGTCTTGCCCAAGGACACAACGACAGCAGTCATCAGTGGGAGTCGGTGGAGAAGGTGCAGAGGTGGGAATTGAACCCACGACCTTCTAGGCTTAAGGCCAATGCTCTACCAACTGAGCTACTGTCGCCCCCTTTTTTAATTTCGCATTCAGTAAATTCAGAAATCAAGGATCTGTTTTGCTGTTCACTTACTTTTGGCAAATTGGCTTTCTCCAGAAATGCTTCCATCAGGCTGCTGTCTACTCTGGGTGGAGAATATAATTGTTCAAATTTAGAAACTATGGTATTTGTTTGGGGATGTTTTATTTTGTGTATAGCCAGTAATTTAGCTGATTTTGCTCCGGTTTCATAGTACTGCTGCCGCATAAAGGTAATTTTTTTCTTTATCTCACATGACATGATATTGTTGATTTCATTCTGAATTGTTATTTTATATCAGGTATCAGTTTTGGATTTCAATTAGCCTTGTGCTCGTTTTCCAAGGTTTATATTGTGTTTGCAAGTCCTTAAGATGTTTATTTCTTTTCTTTTTTAAATTAGAGCAGTATCCTATGTTTTTGCCCCTCATGACAGCTTTCAAAGCGTCCCATACAATTATAGGGGCAATATCTCCGGTAACGTTCTCAGCTAAATAGTTTTTGATATCTTCCCTCATGGGACTTAAAATGCTTGTATTTAACCTCCAGGTAGTATCTCTCTTCTCCTCACTGATTATCATCTCCATATATACAGTATATATATATATATATATACTGTAAAACCGGTGTTATGGAAACGTCCAAAACACCGGTTTTACAGTCAGCCACTCTATGCAAGAAATAATCCAGTCTGAATAAATATTATGAGGATGTGAGAAGAAAGTATAATCTCTTCTTGATGGATTGAGTTCTCTCCAAACATCAAGGATCTTGAGGTTTTTCATAGACAATTTTAAATTTCTGGTGAATTTATTCATCCCTTGTGTCTGTAGTTCGAGGAATAAAAGAATGGATTGAGTCGGACATTTAAATCACCTCCCAAAATCAAAATGCCTTCTGTTTCCAACGTAATTAATTCTAAAATGCGTTTATAAAACTTCCAGTCTGACTCTGGTGGAGCATATACATTTATGACTGTTATCAGAGCTCTCTGTAAATAGCCTTTGACCAGTACCTCCCCTCAGCATCCTCTTTCACTTGAGTACACTCAAAGTTTAATCTATTTGAGATCAGTATCACAACCCCTCTCTTTGAGCTTTGGGGGAGGGAGGAAGACAATTGTTTGAAGTTCCATTTCTTCAGTTTCTCATGTTCTGAATGTGTGCGTTTCCTGTAGTAGTGCCAATTCAATTTCCTCTTTTTTCAACTTTGACATAATTTTGCTCCTTTTAACTGGATTCCCCAGCCCATTTACATTATATGTAGCTATTTTAACTTTTCTGAAATTCTGCATGGATAGACAGAGAAAATAAATCGTTCTGTAAAGATAAGTTTACCCCTAAAATAAAATAGAACAGATAAAGAACATAACTAAAATAAAACAAAAACCTTAAACAGAACAAAGTGACTCCCAAAAGGAAGGCCAGAAACTTGGCCACGGGGAAGGACAGGGCTGCTCCCTCCTCTGGTACTGGAGCGCCCTCTTCAGCCTGTTGGCTAGTGCGTGAGTCCGTGGGGTCTTTCATTGAGGTCCCGCCCATCTTCAATAAACTCAATACCAATGCCTTTGTCATAATAGCACATAACAATTAACAAGATTATCTTAGCCGAAAACAGAACAGTAATTGTCACCAGGAGAATGATTTACTTTAGACCAGTCTGAGAACCCGACCTTATGCCGTGTCGTCACTCTGGCGTCGGAATGCCTGGAGCTTCTCTGAAACTTGGCATCTGGGCCATGCACCTGTATTCCCTTGTTTGCCGTTCCATTGCCACATCCGTCGTTTTATCTGCTCCAACAGCGTAGTGTGGCCTCTCTTCACCATATCCTCTGTCGCCTCCTGTGCAGAGTTGTATGTCACCATGCCTTCGCTGTAATGCACTCTCAGCCTGGCCGGGAAAGGCGTCTGGAAGCGTATGTTCTTCTCCCTGAGAGCCGCTTTGGCTGCGGTTTACTCCTTGCACCTTTTTTGTATTTCGGGGGCATAGTCATTGTCCAAAAATATTGTCTTGCCTTGAAAATCAAAACCTCTCGCTTGCCACACTCGCCTGAGAATGTCCTCTTTTATACGATAACCTGCAAACTTGACCACGAAGGACCGTGAATCCTGATGTTCTCACGCCGTGAGCGCCCCTCCAGATCCGTCAACTTAGCTTCAACTTGGGTTTGGAGCTTTGCTAACTCTAGTAGCATCTCCTCCGAAGCCTGTATGCTAGTCTCCGCCTCCATTATTCGTTCCTCTGCTTCATCCAACCTCTTGGCGATGCCGTTAATGTCCTCTCTTATATTGTCGAACTGCTCCTTGTTCTCCCGTCTGAACTCACGGAGCTCTTTTAAGATTAGGTCAAAGTTGGCACCATCACCACTTCCTATCTTTGGTTCGTCTTCCATGTTGCTAGTGCTACTAGCATTGCTGCGAGAGAGCGTCCTCCTCCACTTCACGCTGTTCTGTTCTCTGCGAGACGCTCCCCTTACGCTTGTTGGGCATTTTTGCACCATTATGGTACCCTACGCACACAGTTCAACAAAACCTCGTATTTGAACTTGTAGACGGGAGCTTTCTCTCTATGCAGTCATGTCGACGCCCACGTGACCGGAAGTCTCTCCTGGATCTTTTCATGTTTATTTTCCACTGTTTAGTAAATGTTTTATTTTGTAAATTGCACTTTCCACTCTCTGCTTACGTAGCTTGTATAAAGTAACTTCGCTGATTTACCCCCGATCTCATCATTTTTTTGTTTGAGGAAGACCATTTTTTTCTGAGTGTCTTGTAGATAAATGTTCACTCCTAATCCCTTTAATATCCTCTGTTATCCTGCTATTACCACCACTGCTATCAACCTGTTGTAATCCTTTTCATTTTCCTTAAAGATCAGTTCATTTTTGTGTCCTCTTTTTTTTTTAAAAAGTTAGTGAAATGTTCTTTCCTCTCATTACTGCCTTTAAGGCGTCCCACAACATGATCTGTGACACCGCTGTCGTTCAAATCCAAAAGCTTTCGATGTCTCAGTTTTGGATCATTGAGAATATTTGTGTTGAACTTCTATGATACTCTTCTCGCCTTTTTTTCTAAGGCGACTGAAAGAGAAATAGGGCTGTGGTCTGAGAGGTCTTCTGTCTTGATTGAACAGACAGAAGACCTACAGACAGAAGGGCTGTAGCTTCCTGCTTTTGAAGCAGAGCAGTCGTGTGTCTCTCGGCTCTGCTTTTGCTTCGCCTTTTAATCTCCTTGAATCATTTTATTTACATTTTTTTGTTTCTCCTTTAATCATTTTATTTACAAAACGAGGATTACTCCTTCTACACACTTCAGCGTTGTGGAATTTATCAACTTTAGTCATGTCGGGACGAAAGAGACGGAGAAACGTCTGCGACGGCTGTTGTGCTTTGGAAAATCAGCTCAAATCTCTTCAAACACGGATATCTATTGTGGAAACAGAAATGGGACTTAACCCGACTCTTCCAATGAGTGAAAATGGGATGAATGGACAGACTGGAAATGTAAGTTATGACGTCATTTCTTTTCCCAAAATCAACAATGAGAATTATTGGAACTATTGTGGAGCTAAACCCAAAGTTGACAAAGCTAAGAATGACAATAGGAGTGAAATAAGGCCACAACTAAATGTTCTGAAGACTTCAAACCGCTTTTTACCCCTTTCTGAAACAACAAAGCCGCTAACAACTGCAGCGCCTCCACCAAGGACAAACTGTGTCCTTATCGGAGATGGTTCGGTGAAAAATGTAAACATGGAGTCCATGCTCACTGTCTCAGTTCACTCTGCAAAAGTTGCTGAGAAAGAACTCTTCTGCCTAAAGTGTTATCTGAGAACAGTGGTGTGCGTACATTATTGATCCACACGGGGGCGGTAGATATCTATGAGAAGGCAAGCGAGAAGTTACGAATGGATTTAACGCTGTTACTGGATGACCTCAAGAAAATGGACATAACAATTTTCCTTAGTGGCCCACTTCCAAATATAGATGGAAAAATGGAGAAGTTTAGCCGTCTGTATCAGCTAAATACATTCCTACTCAATGAGTGTTCACGCAGAGGACTTGGCTTCATTGAAAACTTTAACCTGTTCTGGAATAGGCACGAGCTTTTTGAAGAAAAAGGTCCACATCTGAACAACTACGGAGTAAAAGTGTTGATGGATAACTTTGCATCTGCCCTAAGACCTCAGCCTGCACAGCGCGTGCAGCCGTCGAAAGGGAGAAAGAAGAAGCAAAGGGCACAGACATCACGACCATCTCCACCGACTCCCGAGGTCTCTGCACCCCCACCGCCTCAAAAGAACTCCACACCTCCACGATTCAAGAAGAACTCAACACCTCCAAGGTTCCAAAAGAACTCAACACCTCCACGGCTCCGAAAGAGCTCAACGCCTCCACCACCAGCATCATCAGCAGCTGCCACATCTTCATCAGCGCCATCAGCATATACAGCACCACCAGCAGCAGTGGATACAGCCGAAGCAGTGGCTGCTCCATCATCTTCAGCAGCAGCAGTGGCTGCTCCATCATCTTCAGCAGCAGCAGTGGATACAGCAGCAGCAGTGGCTGCTCCATCATCTTCAGCAGCAGCAGTGGATACAGCCGCAGCAGTGGCTGCTCCATCATCTTCAGCAGCAGCAGTGGCTGCTCCATCATCTTCAGCAGCAGCAGTGGATACAGCAGCAGCAGTGGCTGCTCCATCATCTTCAGCAGCACCTTCCCCACCTACAGCTCCCGTGAAGCTTCCCCCACTGCTCCAGGCTACAGTCAGGCCTGTACTGGGGGTTCCTCAACCACCTCTGTCTCCACCAAAGACTCCCTCATCACCTTCCATGGACCCGGCTTGGGTCCCCCCCGCTACATCCACTCCATCTAGGGAAAATGAGGACGACCTTTCCCTTTGTTTTCTATCCCCGCCTTCACTACTGGAATTACCGGAACACTCGGCAGGCATGATAAGATCGGCGATGAAGACTATTCCTCTCACACCCACTGTAGCCAGATCAAGAGTCCTATCTAACATTCAAAACCACTCCCCATACGTACCTCCAAAGCTACCTAGGGCGTCCAACTCAAATTCTCCCACAAAATCCACCCGTCCCTCCTCTAACCCCATAAGTATTCCACCCCCCCTCCTGCTCATTTAGCCCACCTCCCCCCTAACCCAGCACCAAGAAACCCTCCACCTCCACTCCCCCCTCGTCCACCACCCAACTCAGCCTGCCCCTCCCCTAACCCTCACCAAAAACCCATCCACCTTCAACCCCCCCCCGTCCAACTCCCAAGAACCACCTGCCTCTCCATCCTCTTCCCCCACCTTCCCCTTCCCCTCTTCTCTCTAAGCACTAGGATGCACAGGGTCTCTGCTTCGCAGCCACTGGCAGTCTAGTTAGAGGAGAGACCCGGCTGGGGCCCTGTCATGAAGCCACCTGTGCCATTCCTTTAGTGATAACACAAAGAATACATTACAGAAAAACATCTGAACTTTGAGTTGCCTTGTGTATGAATTGTGCTATACAAATAAACATGCCTTGCCTTTCCTAAAGAACAGTTTGTTCTTGAACAGACACGGTGAGAGCAGGAGCAGTGAGAATCAGCTCTGCTCCTGTAGTTCTCTCCAAACATCACTCCCAGTTCTTTCATCAATGAATTTACCTTTTTGGTGAGTGTGTTTTCTTTATTCTGTGTGTTTGAAGAATCCAATTTTGGATTCAACTTAATATTGAAATCTCCCCCACAGATAAAAAACCTGCTTGTACAGAGACCAGTCACTAATGTTAATCAATGTTATTTCAAATCCCTCAATTTTTACAAAAGTCTTTATGAACCTTCCTTCCTCGTCTTGTGTTTCATCTAAATGTTCATAATTGAGGGAATTTGAAATGAGTATAGCAGCCTCTCTCCGTGGCCTGATGTGTAGGAGGAAGATAACACAGATTTAAGCCTTTTTAGTTTAGCGTGTTCCGATTGGCTCAAATGAGTCTCTTAAAGAAAAGCTATTTGTGTCTTCTCTCGTTTTAATTTGGTGAAGCTCTTACTCCTTTTCACCGTTTGATTTGTGCTCTATTTCCTGTAAGCATTCCCCAAAACACAAAACACAGTGTAAAACATATAATAAGAATGAACTGAACAAACCTTCTTAACAAAAGAAGCCTGTCTTTCACTTCCCAACCTGAGGTCCATGTACCGACCTGTTGGTTAGAGGGAAAGCCTCTCACCCCGAGTGTGTCAGAGGGCCCTCGTCCACTGGGACTGCACTCACCAGTGTCCTCGTCCTCCTTCTTCTGACCAAAAGTTTAAAAGAAATCCTTTATTGTAGTGACCTTGTCATGTTTTAGAATAGTCATTGTGAAAAGTAACTTCAGCCATTGTCCTCCGATGAGATTCGACGGAATGCCTACAGCTTCTGTTTAAACCATGGTTTTAAGTACTCTGCGTGCCATTTCTATCTGCAGGTTTACGGAGGGTGGATTTCAAGCTTTTCTCTTAGCAATTTCTCAACAAACCTCATTCATTGCCTTAGAAGTTGTGTCTCCTGTTGCTTGGACGAGACACAGAACTGTCTTAACAACATGGGTTCAAGTCTCACCTCTGATCTTCAGGACCATCTTCTCTGAACTCAGGAGGAGGGGAGTTGGACCGGTCACTTTTCAGAGACTGAGAGCTGGGAGCAGGTCCAGGTCCAGGTCCAGGTCCAGGTCTGGGTTTAGACCCGGGGCCAGATCCTCGTGGGTCCATGTTGTAGAGTCTGAATCAGAACAAGAGTCACTCACTTTGTTTATTATTTTCTGGTCTGTTTTAACAGTTACTGAACGTGACTTTTGCTCTGATGGTTTTCCACACTTGTGTTCTTGTCCTACAGCTGCAGGATTCAGTCCAAATATCTAACTGCAGGTTTTCATACCAACATTCAGACTGTGCTGAGGTTTGTGATTAAAAGCAGGAGTTGGTTTTGACATTTGAGACGGACACAGAATGAAGTAGATTGAATGTTAGAGTCTCATGTGGCCCCAGTCTGGATGTAGTTCATCTGTGAGGAGGACCTCCCTCTTACACGGCTCAGGACTCATTCAATCAATGAACTGAATTGTCACACGACTTTACCCACATCGTAGAGAAAACAAAATTGGTTTGAGAGAGGGGTTCAAGAAGTCAGTATGGGAATTAGATAGCTATACAAGTGATCTGGCCTTCTGTCAGTCACAACGACCCGATTGTGTATCCATGTTATGACTCTGATATGTTCTGAGTGTCTCTGGATGTGACACAGATGTCTTTCTGTGTGTGACGTAACAATGACTATATAAACCATGTCCTGACTTTGTTCTACCTGAAAAAACTGAAACCTGAAGGAATCCTAAAAAAACTTCCAGGAGCTCTGGTGCGCCACGATCCTGTCTCTGTGTGGTTAATCTACAACACCATTTTTGTGACGAAACACAAACCATCCCTAAACAAAAGAGGCGGTTTAAGATTTGTTTTGCCTCACATCTCTGACGACGTCCTAAAAACAACGCCCTAACAAAAGATAAGGTCAGTGGAATGCTAATGAGTTAGTATCTTTAGCGGGCTTTAAGGATACTAATGGGGAAGGCCTTGTCACATTGTCCTTTGGTTTTCTGTTGCTTCCTCTTGCTGTGGACGGTGTGTCTTATCTTCTTCTAGACTGTGGCTCCTTCATAAAAAACGGCGCATGATTGTGGATAAGGGATCTCCCGTCTCAAAACCTTCTTTCTGTCTGTCTATGACGTTATTGTGCTGGAAGTTAGATTTGGCCACAAAATGTAATAACTGTGATGTCTAAAGTGTTGTCCTTTTTTAGTTTAGCTTGCACCATGTGTAGCGTGACGTCACCTGGTGTTTGGTGAAGAGCCAAAGTACGTCGTGTGATGTTAATATTTCAGCTGGTGCTACTTTGACGTCCTTTAGTCTTTGTACTGTTTCTTCTGATGCTCTGTTTGACCAATGAGGGGTTTATGATGCGACCTGTCAATCAGGCTGACCACGCCCACTCAGGAAGTAACATCAGACCCTAGACTCTAGGGCTGTATCCGAATGTCCACACTATACCCTATATAGTGCACTATATAGTGGTCACGCCATTTTGTAGGGGTGTCCGAATGTCCAGAGAGAAAAAGTAGTGCACTGGAATTTTCCCACAATGCATCTCGAAAATGTAGTGAACAGCAGTGGTCACTATACGGAAGTAAAATGGCGGAGGCACAGAGAGACGGGTTGGAAGCGGAGCGGGACATGAGCTATAAATGTGAGTTTTTGATCATCATAAATATGGAAATGTGTAAACCGTGATATATTGTTGACGATAAGCTGCCAAAATACACATTTGAAGTCAGAATACCATTGCCTTTTAATGCGAAACAACGTACCAATGTTATGCCGCAAAAAATGTTAGCATTTTTGCGTATCATAACATTAACATCTCAAGCTAACGCTACAGAAACGGGTCACTGGTGGTCAGTCATTAATGTTATTAAAGCACTTGTGTTATACGTGTAGCATTTATTGTGTTAAATGTTTTTCTAAAGGGACAGACACTGATGTGGAGAGGCTCATCCGACTACGGATGAAAAACAGGCCGCCGTTTTGCATCGGCGGCTGGATGGGAGTATGACCATTATGAATGAATACTTATTAAAAAAACGTCTACTCGTATTCAAATGCTTTTATGTATCGTTACTTTAGGGCAGTGATAAAGGAAATGGGGCTGAGCCGCTGATCAGCCCTGCCAGAGCGGCCAAGAAGTGGGAGAATTTGAAAAAGACCTACAAGGTTTGTTTCTTTGAAGCTTTGTGTGTAATTTGTGAAGCATATATTACATAAAACTCACTGTTTTAAGGAGCTCAGACAGCCACGGACAGGGACAGGGACAGAAGGAGGGGAGCCTACCGCCATATCGTGGAAGTGGTACTCCCTCATGGATGAGGTGATAGGCAGCAGGCCATCTGTGCAGCCTCCCTGCCTGATTGCCTCATCCATGGGGGATGCTGCTTCCACATCTGTGGAACAACCCCCTTTAAGAACAACCCACCTTGAGTTTGTTGGAGAGAATAGTGGAGAAATTATAAATAAAAATGTATTTTGATAAGTTTAGTTTGAACTATATGCATATCGACATACAATGATGAACACTATTTACACACAAAAAATGTAATCAACTAGACATTTGTAAAGAACTATACATACATTCAACAATTTCTTTTTAGATATTTACATATTCAATTGTTTTTGTTTTTATTTAAATAGGCCAAAACACAGATTATTCAAACATTTAATTAATAGTCGTGGTCCCGAAGAGCCGGTAGCCTGGCCCTTGGGGCGGAAAGTGCTGCTGCCATCCGTCCACGCAGCTCCTGTCCACACAGCTCCTGTCCACACAGCTCCTGTCCACACAGCTCCTGTCCACACTGCTCCTGTCCACACTGCTCCTGTCCACACTGCTCCTGTCCACTCAGCTCCTGTCCACACAGCTCCTGTCCACGCAGCTCCTGTCCACGCAGCTCCTGTCCACACTGGTGATCAGGCTGGTGCTGCTGATGCTGGTCCTGCTCATCATCAGGCCCTGGCTCCTCTTCCACTGGCTCCCAGAGATCACCATCGCTGACGCAGATGTTGTGCAGGATGGCGCAACAGGCAGTCACCTCGACTGCAAAGGTGGGTTGGACTTCCAGTGCCTTAAAAAAAATTGATCGCCATCTTGCCTTCATCATGCCAAACGCTCTTTCTGTTACAGATCGTGCCCGTGCATGGTGCCGGTTGAAGCGGGCTTCCACTGGGCTCCGAACAGGCTCTCTGTATGGAGTGAGGAGTGTGATGGGCTGACGGAGGCAAGGGTAGCCACCATCCCCAAGGAGGACGTGTCCATTTGGGGGATAGAGCCGGTGGACGTAGAGGGGGCTGTTTTTAAGCACTCGAGAATCGTGCACAGATCCGGGGTAGCCAACAAACAAATCAATAAATAAGCCACGGTGATTACACACAGCCTGCATTTGAATAGAATAAAACAATTTCCTGTTAAAATAACACTGTGCATTCTCTTGAAGGGGCTTTATTCTGATGTGGCAGCCGTCGATGCTCCCCACAACATTATTGAGAGCAGCTGATCCAGCCAGCAGCTGAAACCCAGCTGCAACTTGGGGAAGTTCCTCCAGGGAAGGGAAATGAATTATTTGGCCACGCATTTGAAGGATCTGGTTGGCCACCCTGTGGATCACATCGTGGACTGTGGACTGGGGCATGTCCAATGCCCTGGCGACAACACGGTACGTGGTGCCACTGGCCAACCAAAAGAGGAAGATGCTGAGTAGGGGTACATGGTGGTTCAGTCGGCAGTACACCGGTGGTTCACCCTAAAACAAAACAAAAATTCTCTTAAACTTAATATGATACTTCTAGATTCATTTTTTAATTCTGTATCTGCACTTTTAGTTATGAGTGCAGACACAGGAATAAGTACTCATTTTTCATTTTGAGATTTAAAAATGTAAATAAAAATGAAGAGTATATAGCTGAAGTCATGTTCTTTTGTACCCTGGCATTGATTTTGCCAAATGTATTGTGTGTTGCAGGGAGCTGGAGCTGCCCTGAGACAACTGAAGTAGAAACCCTCACTACATCACTCGCACCTAATAACACACAAAAAAAAATCACAGAAGCCCTGTGCCCCATGGCCAAGCAAATTCTATTATTGTTTAATGATTAAGTACTCATTTTTCATTTAGAAAAAATGAGTACTTAATCCATTTCCCTTGCTATGGTTTTGTGTTCTTTCAACCAATACAATATTTTAATGTTCTTGCATTTTAAGTGAGTGTGTCTATACAATGTGTTTTCTTGTTGAAATATGTCTAAATGTATATGACTAATGTGTTTCTCATTGACTGAGAATAGTATTTTGAATTAGTAAGTACACCAAAAGTACTATAATTTACCCAGTAGATGGTGCTAATGCTATATAGACAAAGGACGAATACAATACTTACACGACGCCTTGCTAATGAAAGAAGAGCCATTCTCCTCCTCCGCCTCATCGCCTGTCTTCGCCTTCTCTCTGTTCGGCGGTGTTTAATTCGCATTATGATAACTTGTATAATAGTTATGAAAAACACCGCAAAATTCAGTGGAGGTGCCATTTCACCGGTGTTAGAGGAGCCGGTCAGGTGGCGGGACTATGAAAGACGTCAACCAAAATTCATAAATATGAATATAAATTGTAAAAACATTTTATACATGTATATTAGACAAATATTGATATTTTAATATACTTTTATTTATATATAAAATTATATTGATCCAATGACATGTGACAGGGGTGTGATGTGGGCCGCGGCTAAAAATAGTGTGCAGCTGTCCGAATCGCCAACAGAATGAGTGCACTGACTCACTCACTCAGTCACTATATAGTCCCGAACTATATAGTGAGTGAGTGAATAGGGTATAGTGTGGACATTCGGATACAGCCTATACCCTATATAGTGCACTATATAGTGGTCACGCCATTTTGTAGGGGTGTCCGAATGTCCAGAGAGAAAAAGTAGTGCACTGGAATTTTCCCACAATGCATCTCGAAAATGTAGTGAACAGCAGTGGTCACTATACGGAAGTAAAATGGCGGAGGCACAGAGAGACGGGTTGGAAGCGGAGCGGGACATGAGCTATCAATGTGAGTTTTTGATCATCATAAATATGGAAATGTGTAAACCGTGATATATTGTTGACGA